AATCTATAGTAAACTTCAATTAGCACAAACTAGCCATCAAACTAGTTCTAGATCATAGTTACAAATTCTTGTTTGTGTTACATTTTGATATCACAGCTAACCATGGCTTGTTCAAACTATGTTGTGAACTGCAGTGTATCCTACTGTCTGAATGCTGCCTAAGGCTATGGATGGACAGCTGGATCGCACTGAATATCTGTCAAAAACAGTCATATATTAGAGAGATTTTTAGTGGGAGAAAATTAAATTCTTGGCTATTTTGAGTCATTGATGAATCGTGCTTATTGACCTGGGAAGGAATTAGAATAACTGGCACCTTCAATCACAAGAAAAATTTAAAGAAAGTTTCAACACATTCACTTGTGATTCATTAGACAATCTGAGCAGGCACAAAATGCTCCATGAATGAGGTTATTGCAAAACCAGTTGTCCCATTCAAGCATGCAGATGCTTTATTTAAATATTCCTCAGATGTCTGATTTATTCAGCATAACACATCTTGTTACACTGCCCTTCTGAAGTACAATATGAATTTCAAAAAAAAAAAAGAAGGTTAAAAACAACAACCTCGGGTTCTTTGTGTGATACACAGAAATAATTACATTTACAATACAGATGCTCATTTTACACAGTCACCAAGTCATTCACTACCAAAAAAACAGCATTTAAATCACTTTTTAAAAGTTTACCTTCTGAATTTCAGAGAAAAAGTATAATTCTTTTTTTGCATGAGTGATGAGGGTTGTCTAGGATTATGCAAAATCATACCAAATCCAAATGAAGGGCATTCAGTTATGGTTACACTGCTGGAGTACAACCTGTTAGGTGACCATCATTGTGTTTCATTTTGTCATTGGTATGAAATGAATCATCAATAGAGACAGAATGTCTAACTTGGCTTTACTGGGCTATGCAGCCTAAAATTTGGAACAGAGTCACCTCTGATCAAAGGGAAACATGGAAATGGGAGGTAGTAGAAATGGTGCTGCAGCCATGGAACAACATTGTACAATGCATGGAGATCCCTGTGGGATGAGACATGGAGTTCCACTTGCAGTACTCCATGGTTGGATCTGTTCATTTTTCTTCTTGTATGGCACTATTTCTTAAGCCCAGCAGGGTCTGTTGCATGCCATCTGTGTGTGTAGATTCCGTCTCATGGATTAGAGTCTACATCTCTAGCAGCTCGGGGTAAGTGCCATTGTCTATCAGAAGGTATCAATATATGTGATTAAGAAACTCAACTTGATCTGTTTTTAAATAACAAGCTGTTGGAAATGGTTAATATTAGGGCCTTTTGAATTCAGAGATGGGTTTAGTACTGAAAAAGTCACCTCCAGTATTAATTGTAAGTAGAGATTGCAAACCTGGTGACCCCATTCCTTGCTTTAATAGTCAAAAGTGCATATACTCAGTTCAGCCTTTAGTGCATGGTGAAGTATGCGAAGGACTGCTTCACAGTAGGCATAGCGTATCACCCTAGGAGTAATGGGTTGCACCATTTGAGTGTTAAATGGGAAGTCATGTAGGAATGTACGTAGAAAGAGAACAGAAAATCTAGCTCTGTAGCTTTGTAAAATTTCAGTCCAGTTTAGACTTCATTCACAAATATAGTCTTTTTCCCCCAGTTTTCTGTGATGAACTGAAATGGAATGTAAACAAATACTGTTAGATTTTTCCCATCACAATCTATCTACTTTCTTCTTTAATAAGATCTACAAATATGCATCAGTGGGATCATTTTATACAATGTTTTCAAATTTAATAAAAGGGTTAGAGTACCATTCTAGTTCAGCATCTGCTGCAATGTCTCATAGCAGAGTTTGACTACTATTTTGTTTATTTATTGAAAATATTTATATCCCACCTTATCTCTGCTAACTCAAAGTGCCTAGTTTTAGAATATATAGGCCATGGCAGCGGATCTATTGCTGATGTCCTGAGAAGCAAAATGGTAGGTTCTGACATGAGTATATTTAGGCGTACTTGTAGATAAAAGTTTTAAAGGTGAAACATTTAGTCGGTTTCCACTATAAAGATTTAAAAAGTTGAGGAGGAGCAAAAGTACTTGACTGTTGCAGAGTTGGTTGTAGGGAGAGATGGATGTAGAGACAACATGCTTTGGATCTATGTCTGGAGAAATGTATCGAAGAAATATAGTCAATATATTTTTTCAAACCTACATTTATTCCTGGTATTTATCTGCCATTTTTAAATGTTACATTCCATTTAGTGCCAGAGTCTGAGAAATATAGCACCACTGTAGCAGAAAATATTCATGAGACATGAACACCTCTTGGTTGCCCCGATACAGTCCCTGCACTGCTCTGCATTGCAACAAGATCTGACTTTTGTTGCAGTGAAGGGTGATCAGAAAAGCCCTCTTCACAAGTTACAGTGAAGACACACACTATCTGTGTACAATGTATACTTGATTTTTTAAAGAGACATATGTTGAGTAATTCTCACATTACATTCAATGCATGTACAGCTGAATATGGGATATCAAACCCTACATTTATCCAGATGGGTAGCTGTGTTAGTTTGTCTGTAGCACTAGAAAAAAGCAAGAGTTCCATAGCACCTTAAAGACTAACAAAATTTGTGTCAGTGAATGAGCTTTTGTGAGTCACTGCTCATGAAATGAAGAAGTAAGCACTGGCTCACAAAAGCTCATACCTGCTACAAATTTTGTTAAGTCTTTAAGGTGCTACGGGGCTCTTGCTCTTTTCTACTGCTACATTTATCCAGGTACTAATTCCTAGTTTCATTTGCAAAGGGAACATCTGTTGGCTCTTCCTTACAAACAGATGGGTGCACATTGAGGGTAATGTAGGAACAGAGTTACTGAGATGGGATATTCTAGAGCCTCAAAGTATCCCCTGCATCTACTCAGAGATCCCACCTGATCTCTCAGAGATACTACAAAAATGGTGGAAAGAGACATATGCATATACCAATCTTCCATTTTAGGGGCCAAAAGCTTTGCATTCTACCTTTGTTAATAACAACATGATTTAATGGTTTGGGAAAGTGAAATGTGTTACTTTAGATGAGATGCTGGTTACATTAAACTAAGCCACACTGGACAAACAGGGAAGAGATGACAATGGACTCCTATGACCAACATCCAATTTTTTATATATAAACATTATTTGTGATGAGAAATCACTTAAGGACATTCTTAGTTTCATACATTAGTGGATTTGATGATCAGATGAATCTGATAATACACTATCAGATAAAACCCCAGTTTTAGAGGTGCTGTACAAATCCATCTAGCAATTTCTTTAGTAGTACTTCAAGATTCATTTACACATTCTTACTTAGAAATATATTTTTTGCTTCAAGACTTGAAAGGATGGGAAGCCACCATGATCTTAAACAGATTAGTCACTATTAAGAAAGTTGTTTATTTGGAAACAACATTTTAAAATTCCTCTGGACAATGAAACAAAAAGACAGGTTCTTTAACAGTAAAGTCTGTGTAGTGATCCTACAGTGGTGCATCCTTCATTGTCAACTTGCGTTTTGCAGTACTGGGTCTAAAGCTTCCATTTCAGCTTTAGGCGATCTTACTAAATGTTCTAGAAGTTTAATGTGACCAAGAACTTTTTGAGTAATCATCACAAAACTTAATCGAATGCCTCCCAGTACGCAGTTTTCGTAGTAATAATAGACAATACCATTGAGGTTTTAGAGATAAATTAATCACCAAACCATGTTATTGTTAATTGAGAACTACATTATATCACCACACTAGGAAGATTGCTCATTTTTTCAGGAAACTTAAAAATACAGCCGGTGTTCGTAAAAATTAGTTTCTTAACTAATTGATGAAAACCCTGGACATTCAGAGAGGAAAGAAATGTAGCAGAAGGCAAAGATTGGCATTAAGGAATTACAGGGTAATGAGTACTATAAGAAGCATGATGTAAAAACAAAAGTACATCTGTTATAACAACCGGTTTTGGTTATGACGTTATTTAAAACTTTCCATATTATGGAAAATACTGTACTGTCTATCCATGTGGTTGTCTTATTTGTGTCACTGAAACTGTGCAGAGAAATAGGAACAAAAGCCTGATTCCTGATACAACAGATGTACATTGAATTATTGCAGTTGTAACAGTACCAAGAAAGCAAGAGAAAACAATGATAAATACTGAATTAACTGAACACCTCAACTCCACAATGAGTGTTTGAGTACGAAATATTTCCCTTTTCCCTCTGCAAAGGAAGATATTTGTACAACTACCATGGAACATTAACAATCAGCTTTTTAAGTCCACAGAAATGCCCCTTTTCTACGGTAAAATGTTATCATGCCTAACCTGAAAAAACAAACAAATCAGAAGTAAACTCAGATCACAGCTCCAAAGAATTTTCACATGCATTATGGTTGTGTTTCTTTCAGTCAGTACAAATATTTTATGAGACATTCTCTCTCTCTCTTGAAGGCTCTCCTGGTAATAGAGGCTGACAGCTCCTTCCATTACTGATATATACACACAGAGAGAGACACTCTCTCTCTCTCTCTCTCTCTCTCTCTCTCTCTCTCTCTCTCTCTCTCTCTCTGAAAGTCAGTTTGTCAACAGGTTCATGGTTTATTAACAGGAAAAAGAGAACACATTATCAAAACATTGTTTCCATCCTGGATTTTGCATTTGGTTGGAACATAAACTGTCTAAATATTTTTTGTTTTAGGTATTTTATTAAAAAGATTTTTCATGGAAAGAAGCATCAATGGGGGACATTTCATTGTGCTCATAGAGTAAATCAAAAGAGTCACAGAATAGTTTCTTATGGAAAAGTTCAAGTGACATGTAGAAATTCCATTTGGTTGCTCACTGCACACAACTTAGTACTGAAAATCCAAAGTGTTTTGTATCATCAGAACCATTTGGTCCTCCGGTCCTCTTCCACGGAACAAAGGGTTTGCTGTGTCCTTTCTTCAGAATTCACCATTCACCTTCTAAGTGGTCTTTATTCTAAGTGTTTTATAAAGCAGATACTCTGACAATGTTTCCTCCTGAATACTCTGGAGACCCTGGTCGATCGTCTCCCTCTGGTGTGGTCACAGGTGGTGTTGGAATGCTGATTATTGCTGTGGTTACGTACGGCTGCTCACAGTTTAGTTTAACACACTCTTCCATTTTGGCATTTAGACTGGATCGGCTAGAGAAGTTAAAAAAAAACATAATGGGTACAAAAATATAGAAATATTCCATCTGCTTAATGTTCTTATTCAGTTCTGGCAAGTCAAAAACCATCATTCATCATTAAGATTCACTAACAGGGTGGTCCTAAGCAGAGTTACATCCTTCTAAGTCAACTGAAATTAATGGTTTTATAAAGGTGCAACTCTGCTTAGGCTTGCACTGTAAAATGTCTCTCTCCATCACAGTATTAATTATACTATTTAGGTATTAGAAATTAAGATCTCATTGTGCAGAATAAAAATTATAGTACCCCAAAGACACGCAGATCAGAGGAAGAACCAAGGCTATTTTCTTTATTTCTGATTATATTCACCTTAAAAACTGCTTGCCATGTCATCCCATTGGCTGCATTTGTTGTTGACAATAAAGAAACCTTTAAACTCAAATGACTAACAATAATCATCTGATCCAAAGATAGATTTTAAAGTTGAGGAATTTTCATTCGTACGCATATGTAGTTCACAAAACCTTGGAGCGACCCCCATATATAAGTATTAAAAAGTTTATAAATGTTTATAGGTTTATAAACGTATGCACGGTATAGAGAAACTGGATGGCTGGCCTGGATGGTCCATGCTAGCCTGATCTCAAAAGCTAAGCAGGGTCGGTCCTGGCTAGTATTTGGATGGAAGACCAACCAATGTTCCCTCTAAGCTGAGTTAGTGTGAGCTAGTTCACAGTTTTTTAGCCTCTGGCTCACACTTTTTTGTCTTAGCTCAGGAAGGATGGATCAAGAGCAAACTAAATTATGCAGTAAAAAACGCCCGCTCACAGCTTTAATGCCAGTAGCTCACAAAGCGGAATTTTTGCTCACAAGACTCCACAGCTTAGAGGGAACATTGAAGACCACCAAGGAATACCAGGGTGGCTACACAGGGGCAGGGAATGGCAAGCCACCTCCTAGCATCTCTAGCCTTGAAAACCCTACAAGCAGGGCTCGTTTTGAGCTGGAGCAGCACTCTGGGAGTGATGGAAGGCACCCCCCGCCCTGCCCCCGCTCAGGTCACCCATGGCCCATCCGGTGTAGCTCTAGGCTTCTGTATGTCCCACCTCCTCACTGCCCGCTGCCTGCTGGGCCCCCATGGCCTGTGTTGCGACTGGGCTCAGGCACACCCCGCAGCCACCCTCCCATCACCGCGGCTGGTGCGCTCTGTCCATGCAGCTCAAGTCAGCCGTAGCTCCCTTGCTGGCGTTGCTTCCTCCGGCCACCCCACCACCATCCCTCTGTCGACTGCTGGACTCCTCTATGCTCCCCCAACTCTCAGTAAGTGATGGGAGAAGTGGGTTCGGCGGAGGGAAGTGAAGTAATGCACTGGGCCTGGAGCCAGGTCACCCCGCCGAGAGGCCTGGAGGGGGCTGGGACAAAGGGAATGGCATGGAGGAAGCGGAGCACAGCAGCCTGATCCACCCCCCCCCATCTGAGTAGCGTAGCACGGGTCCTCCTCCCGCGAAAAAAGTGGTCTCGGTGTCATGTTTGTTGGCCCTCCAGGGCAACTGGTTGGCTGCTGCGTGAAACAGGATGCTGGACTAGGTGGACTACTGGTCTGATCCAGCAGAGCTCTTCTTATGTTCAGACATCAGCATGTGTTGACTTGAGCATTTTAAAAAATTGGCATGTGAATGTATCACAATTCTTCAGTAATCTCAAGCCAATATATTCTTAGTAGTGCTTCTGAAAAGATTGAGCATATTGTATCTACTTAATATTTCTAACATACCTGTTAGATTGAGGTGTTCTCTCCATGCATCTGATCTGAATGGTACTAAGTTCTTGAACGCTACTTGGGTGGCTGCTGGTTATGTTGGCATTTGGGATGTGGAATGTCTTTTTATGTCGCCGTGAACAGCAAGTGCTCGTAACTCCTTGTTGGGAAGAAAGGGAAGGGCTGGAGTGTCTGTTGACAGTTGAAACCTCCATGCAACTTTCTTCATCCACAAATTCATGATTCTGTTTCGAAAGAAAAGCAGCATTAAATTTGCTTTAAAAACGAGGGCCTACAAAGACATGAAGCCTAATCCTATGCATGTTTCATTCAAAGTAGGTTCCAGGGTTTTCAATGGGACTTGCTGTCAAGTAAGTACACTGCAGTTTGTCAGCTTTAAACTATATTAGATTGTCTTGAGGAAACACAAGTCAAAATTCTTTCTCACACCAAACAAAGAAAACCCAGCCCCCCCCCCCGAACTAGTTTTTTGGATTCAAGGGTGCTTTGGACTTGAATCTCCTGAATCCCTCTTGTTGCTGGTCAAATTCTTTTAAAACTAAGGAGATCCTCAAGAAGACTTTGTGACATCATCTGAGAGCCTGCTGATCAGAAAACCCTAAGCCCTCCCTTAAAAGTCTGACTGTTAGGTCCTGGGCCACAGGCTTGTCTAAAGAAGCTCTTTGGATTCCAGACACAGTTTGCAACCCCACGGCCGATGTGCTTTACATGCAAACAGTACAATAAAACCACATTTTAAAAACAGAGTTGATATCATTTTAAGGTGACGGGGAGGAATGGTAAGGAAAAAATATACTAATGGGAAAAAAATTATGGACCCTTTCTGAAAAGAATGAAACTACAGCTGCAGAGATTATGATATACAAAACCCTGCTTCCACCAAATTGATACAATGGCAGGATCATCCAAAAGGATGTATTATCTGGGGGGGGGGGGCGGCGGAGCGGCAGCAGAGCCGTGCAGTCGCACCCAAATCAGCAGGATTATTACTCAAGAAGTTTAGTGTGTGTGTAGGGAGGGGGACCAGAGATTACTACAACTCAACATTATTGTAACTTCTTCTCAACCATCATTTGCTTGCACACTTTCTGATCAGGCTGTTTATGTGTTAAACAGAAACAGTTATCACACAATTGTTTTGAGCAGAGATAATAAAGTCCAATATGAACACCATGTTATACAAATACATGCCTCCAGACTAATGATGTTCCATGGAATTGTCTTTGATAAATATATGCATAATGGCATCAGAGTATTCTTAATTAAAAACAACAAGTCAGCAACAGTAAGCCAATACCATATCTGTTTATCACAGATTACAAGAAGGTTGGAGGTTTATTTTCTTACTGTGGTTTTTTCCAGACAGTGAAGCAGGTGGTGGTGTTGGATTTCAAAGGAAGAACCAAATTTGCCAACAAAGCCGCCTTGTTCTTCACCAGATAACTGTTAATAAATAAAAATCACAATATTTACATGAGACTCAAAGGATGTTAGATTACATTTTTGGCTAAGTAAATAAATAAATAAAAACCTGCCCACAATGTTTCACTATGGAAATGCTGGCCAATGTAAAATAAATTATGCATATTGTGTTAATTTTAAGAAAACTGGCTTTAGAATAGTTTTCAACTAAGTTTCTCTCTATAAAAGAGTACTTGAGTTTAATGCAAGAACACAAGAAAGCACTGAAACAACTGGATAACACCCCCCAACTACCCAGAATTACTGAGATTACTTTTTCATAATAGCTTCAATGTGAAATTGGGTGTTCAGTTGCTTTTGTTTGCTTAGCTGAACACTGCTAACAGGGGGGGGGGGGGCTCTTCAGTTCAACAGGGCTTTAAAATAAATCACTTTATGATTGGGTCATTATATTTTATGCATAGATGAAATAATAGTTCCACAAACAGCGCCTCACTTGCAATTTACTTGATCCAAGGTTTTGTTTATAATGACTTCAAACTATCTATTTTATTGTGTACATATTGTTTTTTCTCTTTTGTTTATCTTTTTAAAGAAGTTGTAGATAGCATTTTTATTGGGGTTCGTTTGTACTAAAGAAAAGGATTTTTTTTAAAAAATCAAATCACTCAGCAATTCTTCCTAGAATTAGAAGGACTAGAGCGGATGCTCAAAGAAAGCATGTAATCAGAAATGACACAAACAGTATCCTCTGATTTATTATCTGCACTCTTATTAATGACAAGGCAATAAACTAAAACTATAGATAAGAATAATGGGAGATGATTGTTAGAATCTGACTACAGCACAAACTCTAAGAGTAATCCAGTCTTTGAAACCTTGATCTCTTATACAAAAGACTGCAATAATCTTTAACACGCATAAATGGGGGGGGGGGGGGGAACTGTAGTTTTGCTCCTACTTTTCTTTAGTTAGATTACAGATCTTTTCCTGAATATAAAAATTTCAGATTATTTTGATTTTACACATTGCTTTTGTTTATACTGATTACTGTAAGCAATTTTTAATGTGCTTAACATAATTTTGTAGTACATCTATTTCTGTCACTTTTCTTTGCAAATTTGCACTGCTGTTTTATTTGACAGTTTTTATTATTTGCATGCATATACAGATCTTTCTTTCTTAGGGCTGCCAGTGCCCTGGTGGGGATGGGGCATCCCCTACCCCCAGGTGGTATTTCCCATCACTGCTCACAGCATTGGTGGGAAAAGAATAAAATTAAATTAAAAAACAACCAACAGCTTGCGGTTACTTTTGGAGAAGCCTGGAAGTGATGTCATCCCTCTCTAGAAATTGGTAAAAACTGTACGGAAAAAACTACAGTATTTCTGGAGATTCCCAGAGAGGGCTGATATCACTTCTTGGCTTTTCCCTGGAAGCAATGTCAGTCCTATTTAGGAATCACCAAAGACTCTCATTGTATCATAGAGTTCTGGCCAATTCCTAGAGAGGTATGAGATCACTACCAGGTTTTCCTTAAAAGTGATGTCCTGCTGTTAGCCAATGATCACTCCCCCATATGCACCAGTCTCCCACTGGTTGCCAGGCCTGGCAACCCTGTTCTTTCTATTTACTTAAGTTTTTACAGTTTATTTTTATACTGCTGTTCATTGCTGATCTCTTAAATCGGACACATTTTTCTCTCTGCTAGTGCCTTATTTTCTTCTTTTCTATTTTATGTAAAATGTTTGCATTTTTCTTTCTTTTACAGTTTTGCACAATGTAATTTGTGTGAGTTTTCCTCCTTCTCTTGTCTGTGGCCTAAGTTATGTTTATTTTCCCTCCAATTCCCCAACCCCCCAGTTTTGGCTATACTGGAGTTTGAGCCAGTACCTAGACAAATACAACAAGGTATACTGTCCAAAGGTTGAAGTCAAGCTGGTGTCTGTGATTAGGCCTATCATCAGCCTGTCCCCTTAATTTAAATTTACTTGTGAGATTGAGCCAGTTTGAGGTCTCAAATCTACTATTTTAAACAAACAAACTGCTTTTCCAAGGTGATTGACAACCACCCCAACCATTTAAAACGTATCAGAATAACAATAATACAACCATTTCGACTACTCTGAAGCAGATATTAATGCTGGTAAGCTTTACTGAATAAGAGGTCTTTCCACAATCATCTGGAGGGCAGATGAAGAGTGCTGGATTGCACCTCTTGGAAGCAGTCATTCAACAGTCCTGGGGATGTAATGGAAAAAAACTCTGCCTTTTCCTGCAGGTCTCACCTCCCATGTTAAGGGACCTTAGAACAGAGCTCTTGAAAATGAGTTCAAGAAGTAGGAGAGCTGGCTGAACAAGTACATGGGTTGAGTTGTTTACTTTCTGATGTGCATTCTGAATGTACTGCAGAATGCATGAAGAGCAGCACAGGAAGGGTAAGAGAAGCAACAAGGAACAAACCAAGACAAGGTGACAACCACAGCAAGCCTGAGGAGAGTTGCACTGTTCTAAGTCCAGTTGAAACGGATGGGTTTAGAACTGTGTAACTCTGGTCAGGGCTGACCTGCCCACTAGGTGTCAGTCTATGCCCAAGATGGAAGGGGCAGCAAGCCAGCCATCCGATGGCATTATGGAATCAGATGGGTGCTGCCATGTGCATGTTCATGCAGCTAGGTGGCAGGCAGCTAGGGCCTTCTCTTGTCACCAGGTCCTGGCTTGGTGGTTCAGTGGCATGCTACAGCCCCAATCTCAGTGAAGGATGCTATGATGGGGGTGACTTCCTCACAGCATGGAGGGGGCAAACATTTGCCAAGGGTGCCAAAAATCCTTGGGCTGGCCCTGACTCTGCTTAGGATTGCAATGAACATTGATTGCCAAAACATATTCTCGTATAGCAGAGATTGGATGTGCTTTGGGATATATTTTGTGATATCCTGGAAATAAATGCATGAAGCTGCAAATCACAGCATTGGTCTAAATGGACTCTTCAGAACTCTCAGCATATTCGTGCCATATGCAGCTGCCTTATACTGAGACAGGCCATTAGGTCTACTCTGAATGGCAGCAGCTCTCCATCATCTCAGGCAGATATCTTACATCACCCACTGCTGTAGAAAAGAGCAAGAGTCCAGTAGCACCTTAAAGACTAACAAAATTTTATGGTAGTATCTTCAGTATCTGATGAAGTGAGCAGTGACTCACGAACACTCATACCCAGCCACAAATTTTGTTAGTTTTTAAGATGCTACTGGACTCTTACTATTTTCTACTGCTACAGACAGACTAACGTGGCTACACATCTTGATCTATCACCCACTGCCCGATCCTTTTAGATATCAGGAATGGAATGTGGTAGTTTCTGCATGCAAAGCAGATGCTCTACCACAGAGCTACAGTGTTTTTGTCCACTATGGAATGGACCACAGGCCAGCAGGCTATGTTCTCTTTTGGTATATAATTTAGTAAGTGCGGACACAAGCAGTGGGGAGAGTTGCATTTTGGAAGGCAGTTCAAGACTCTTGGTGTTCACCAGATGACATCTGTCACTGGAAGTCAATGCCCCCCTTCCCCAGAGATTAGTTGATGGGCATTAGGAAAAATCCTTCAGGAAACCCACTTGCCTGACTTGCAGACATGCAATCTCATGCCAATTTACTTGAGTCTGAACCCATTCATTTGAGTAGGCTTAGACTGGAGTAAGTGTGCATAGGATTGCACTGTTGGATGCTCGCTGTCTCTGCTAAGAAAAATGACTCCTTGCTCAGTCTGAAAGGCAACTGTCATGCAACGCTGGGAGTCAGATTGACTTGTTCTGACGCAAAGCAGAACAAGGATGTTTGGGCTATTATTAAATAGGGTTCCTGGATTTAGAATGCACATGCTCATTACCTGCTGCAGCTGGTTACTGAGTAAGCCATTTCTTTTGCTCTGCATGTAAGCGTTTGCACTCCCACTCTTTGCAGCACGGATTCGAGCAAGCCTGGCTTTCTGTGCAAAAGAGGAAGGGGGGGAAAACAGGAAGAGAGAAATTCATTATTTGTCTTTGCAGCCTTCTTTCAGAAAATTACACTGCTAATGGGAATGGCTTCTTTATGACTTATCAAAGCACTAACCAAAAGGGGGCTTTTTCAATGGGGCTTTAAGGTGCCAAGCCTCAAATATATTTCCACATCTATAATGCAAATGAGAGAGAAGCATTTGCTTCACACCATGCCAAGAAGAATGAATGGTGTTGGAGTCCCTGTTTACATACATTTTCACATTAGGTGTTTGTTTCCCCTTTTTTACTGTCAGTGAGATCAGGCCTCTGCTCATATGTCAAGGTCAGGAGTGTGGCTTTCATCTCAGTTTTAATTATACCACTTTTGATTCTCCCACTAAATGTTCCTTGAGAGAAAGGACAATAGACCAAAAGAATGCTTAGCTGTTCAACTGCTGTGAAGTGTCACACGTAATTACTCAGGACATTCTGATTTGCCCAGGAACATCTGCGTAACACAATGAGATCTAAACCAGTGGTTCTCGGTTTGTTTGCCCACTGGGACAGGACACATGAAAAGCAGTACACACCATGGTTTGGTTTATGTTACTCGCCTTGGGTAGACTCCAAAACATTGAAAAATTCAAACGAGAACCTTTAGGCATAAATAGCTTATTTTTAATTGCTAAGGGAATCTAGGAATTCCCACCAAAGCTGAAGTATTAAAACATTAACAGGTCACTGATAAATGCAAAACATTTTTTCATTTCCCAGGGACTGAGCTGCAGAATGTTAAGGCTGGAATCCTGAGAAACAGTGACCTAAACAAGACATGTTAGATTATAATGCTGGAGTGCTCTCTCTTTTCTATAGAATTTAATGCTACACTTGACTGGCAACTGGATGCATGTGCTTTCACATATTATGACAAATGTTCAGACTGGAAGCAAGTACTGCAAATGAGCGAGTACTGCAACCTGCGTTCACACACCTATTCCTTTTGTAATGTTTGAAAAAAGGAGGCCATTTTCCTCTGCTGTGTGATTGAACATTGTGGGCAGCAACTGAAAGAAGAAGAAGGGTCTTCTAGGGTGGAGAAAATGGTACCAGTGTTGAAATTTTGATCAACTCTGCATGCATGACCTTTTGCATTCTGGTCTGTATGTTTGTTCTATATGCAATTTTTTCTTCTTTATGTAGTTTTCGACTTTGTTATGTAATACACAGTGAACTGTTATATTGTTTCAGTTACTTACCCTGTTTGCTTTGGCATTTTTTGTTTTGGTGATCATTTACTGGATATGAAGAGTTTGTATTACGGGGAGCTATATTTGTCGTAGGGGTGTGTTTATTTTATTATGGTGTTTTACCACTGTTCTTTTTTAGTTATTTGTTTTGCAGTTCTCTTTTGTACTGTTTTTGGAGGCTGCTTTGTGTCTAGAATAATGATATAAAAAGTGAAAACAAACAAGCAAGCAACATGCTGTAGCCTTGTGACTTTCCAAGACTGGGGATGGCCAACTTCTGGGAACATTCTAAGATGCAAGTAAGAGGGTTTTGACTCTTCAATCTCCACACAGATAATAAGGGTCTGTAATAAAGTTAGGCCGCGGTCACACGTAACAGAAGCCACACAAGGGAGACGGAAAACAGACGGAGTTTCCGGGCGTGATCTCACCAGCACATCTGGGAAGCGTAGCACTCCCGTGGCTCAACCGAGGCTTCCAGCCGAAACTGCGTGGCAAAAAACTAGTACCTTGGAGGTACTAGTTTCCGGAAACTCCGGGGCAAGGGCGGGCGTCTGATCGCGTTTCCGGTGGCATCCGGCGCCCGCCCATGTCCCCTTGCAAATAAGGTGTTTTTTTTTGTCCAAGTCTCTGTGGATGCGCATGCGCACCCACCGAAGCATGCGCATTGGTCATGTACACAAAAATAAGAAACAGTTTGCCGCGGCGCGCGCTTCTTCGTTGCGCGCCGGCTTGTCCTGTGATCGCCACCTCTCCCTTGCCATGGAACCTCCACGGTACCTCCACAGAACCTCCACAGGAGGTCTGATCACGTAACTGCGCAGTAGTTTGCCCCAGGGCAAACAGCCACGCTTCTCCTCTGCAGTTTCCTGCCCGTGTGACCGGGGCCTTAGTTTTGTTTTTAAAAACGGTTATAGCAGTATTGATGGCACTTTTTAAATTATAGCATACTTAATACACACCATTAAATGCACTTCTTCTTGGCAATTTGACTTTGAATGCAACTCAGGTTGAACCTTTAAACTTTGCTGAATGGCGTCTTTACCTACTTCTTTCTGTCTTTTACTTATTATCCAAATCTGAAATCGTATCTGTGCTTTGATCCTTCCCAGTTCTGTGTGGCAAAGAAGGTAATCTTCTTTCAGTGGGGGTTTTAGCACAGAAATTGATTCCTGGTCTTGTCCTGATTCCAATGCATGTTACATTCATTTTAAATTGAATTTAATTAGCATTAAAAGGAGTCTTCAGATAGAAGACTTCAGAAGTCTTCAGCTTCATTCTAGAACTTCTGAACTAACCATATCATTTCTGGGGATTTTATATGCAAGGCTTTACCATACCTGCCAGGGCTGAGGCAGTTTGAGAAAAATAGCAATAGGATGGGTAACAAAGGGATGCAGTAGAGTCTGAGTGGTCATAGTGGTGGAGAAAAAAGATAGTAAACAGCTGTACTGGCTTATGTAAAACCCACAACAAGAAACAAAATCCATGCAATACCTTGCATTGGGATGCAATAAAAATGACATAAAATATCATGCAAATATTCAAGTCATCAGAACTTTTCATCAGACCCAATGTCACAAAAAATTTTAAAGTGTGATGGGCCAGTTCCCAGGGCCAATGCATTCTTTCCCTCTCCTTTCTCCACATATGGCTTTCAACATGCTGATGTTGTCTAAGATTTTGGGGGAAAGCCGACAGGAGATGAAAAGTCTCTGGTTCGGGTTGGCTCATCTCAGAGACATGAGGGGGTACCTGTTGCTTTTCTACAGGGAGGTGGATTGAAATTGTCCACTGAGACCATGGTTAGTGACATGGACTGCCTGACAAGGTCTCGAGATAGAAAGAGGAAGGTTGCAGGCTTAACTTGTATGGAAAATTATAGCTGTTTCTTTACAAATGCTAGAAGTGTCCAAGGTAAAATTGGGGAGTTGGAGTGCTTGGTGTTGGAGGGAAAAATAGACATTGTGGGTATTTCAGAAACTTGGTGGGATGAGAAAAATCAATGGGATACGGTGATTCCCGGTTATATATTATATCGGAAGGATGGGGGGGAAGGGTTGTAGGTGGGGTGGCTCTGTATGTCAGAGAGGGTATAAAGTCCAGAAAGATTCTATGGGTTGAAATAGGGGGGCCAAAAGGAAACTTAACACTGGGAGTTTGTTATCGCCCACCAGATCAAAAGATAGAGGAGGATTATAAAATGATGAATGAATTAAAAATAGCAGCTAGACAAAAAAAAACTGTGTTGTAACAGGTGATTTTAACTACCCACACATTGATTGGGTCAATATGTGTTCTAGTCGAGAAGAAGTGATTGAGTTTCTACACACTCTAAATGACTGTGCTATGGAGCAGATGTTGGGAGTAAACTTCAGACAAGGCACATCTAGCTTGCTTGGTTTTGTATTCTAAAAGTAGATCTGAACTGACACTTAGAAAAATGTTTCTCTGTAATTGACTTCAGGCATCATAAGTAGATGACTTAAGTATGAGAACAAATTCAAGATGACTGCGTCCTGTGTAGGAATTCAGCCATTAAAAAGTACTGGAGAAAGGTACAACTTCTCACAAGGAACAACTGTTGCATTATCTGCTACATATCTGATTTTTTTTATCATTGTAATCTTTACTGTTGGCTTTCTGTTGTTCAGTTTACATATTGATATTGATACAGTTGATATTGTTATATGATTCTTATTGGTCTTCTTTGTCTTCCTTGATTTTACTGCCAACTATTTCCACATTACCATTCCTTGTGGGATATCTGGTGGCAGGAGAGGAAGGTAAATATCTGTCCTAAAATTGCCCACTCATTAGAATTATAAAATGTTCATCCAGTAAATCCACTAAGTTGCAGCCTGCTAATACTGTCGTAATGTCACTGTAATATAATTGCTATCCTATGTGTTCCCCACAGAGACACTGAAAAAACTACTATCATTTTAAAGGACAGAAAAATAGCAACACCGCCATGGTTACATCATCACCACCCTTCAGTCATGGACCAGCATGTTGATGTCACTCCCATATTAGCCATACATGGAAGGAGCCAGGGTGCTTGTGGCAGCATTGTAATGTGATATGATGTAGCAATGTCTTTCCACACATACATAGCAGAACCTTGAGGGCATAATAACAACAGGTCACCTCAAATGAATGAATCACTATATTGCAGCCACTAGGAGTTTTTGGATGGGGGATTTGATACTCTTTACATCATACAGACAGCAAACGGCTGCCATATAAAAAAAGAGGGATAGATATGGAAGGAAGGATAGAAGGATGGGCCATCTATTCATCTTGTCCAATTTGGAAGAGAAAACCCACCAGGATAAAAAATGGCCATTACCCCATTACATCTTGTTATCTGTCTCCTCTCTCCATCATGCCATCTAACATCACACCAGCAAGGATCAGGGGCATTGTGCTCCATTAGAAGCCTTCCCTTTCCCCCTTCTGGAACTAAATCCCAGATATCTGACAGACAGCAGCAGACAAAGTTTTCACTGCATCCATGTTGGGCGTCAACATGGCAAATGGGGTTCAATGTGGCCAAGTGCAAGGAGATGCACATTGGAGCCAAAACTCCTAACTATAAATACACATTGATGGGGTCTGAACTGGCAGAGACTGATCAAGAGAGAGATCTTGGAGTTGTAGTAGATAACTCACTGAAAATGTCGAGACAGTGTGTGACTGCAATAAAAAAGGCCAATGCTATGCTGGGGATTATTAGGAAGGGTATTGAAAACAGATCA